ATGAAAGTTAAATAATAGGATTTAACATGTTATTGTCTTATTAGCTCAGAGTATTCAGCTAAAATATGTACAGCTGCCACTTATATTCATATATTTAATATATTTTTACCCTCCTTCTCCCTTTAGCGTGAGTGTATCTCTATGCATGTTGGCCAAGCTGGGGCCCAAATGGGAAATGCATGCTGGGAGCTTTACTGTCTGGAGCACGGTATTCAGCCGGACGGACAGATGCCCAGTGATAAGACAATAGGAGGAGGAGACGATTCCTTCAACACCTTTTTCAGTGAGACTGGAGCAGGGAAACATGTTCCACGTGCCATCTTTGTTGATCTGGAACCCACTGTGATTGGTAAACTGAACCTGAGGAACAGAATATAATCCATTTAAATTATCGTGAAAACCATTTTACAAAATATTGGAAAAGCAAGTTTTATAAAATATATTTCCTGATAAGAATTAATCATTTTTATAGAAATTACCTTGGATTTATTGGACAATTTAAATGTCTTCTTTTTCTTCCTATTTGCTACTGTGAATAAAAAAAACCCCAGAAGCTTAGATAATTTGGCTTTTCCATTTTTTTCCTCTTCAGATGAGGTGCGCACAGGCATATATCGCCAGCTGTTCCATCCTGAGCAACTAATTACTGGCAAAGAAGATGCTGCCAATAACTATGCCCGTGGGCATTACACCATTGGTAAAGAGATCATTGACCTAGTGCTGGACAGGACCCGCAAACTGGTGAGGTTCAAGTCTTTTGAGTACAAAATGAATTTGACTGACATTAATAATTACGAAGATGTTATTTCTAATAAGCTGATTTACTCCAACAGGCTGATCAGTGAACTGGCCTTCAAGGATTTCTCATCTTCCACAGCTTTGGTGGAGGTACTGGCTCTGGCTTCACCTCTCTGCTGATGGAGCGCCTCTCTGTCGACTACGGCAAGAAGTCCAAGCTCGAGTTTGCCATCTATCCTGCTCCTCAAGTGTCCACAGCGGTGGTGGAGCCCTACAACTCCATCCTGACCACCCACACCACCCTGGAGCACTCTGACTGTGCCTTCATGGTGGACAATGAAGCCATCTATGACATCTGTCGTAAAAACCTGGACATCGAGCGTCCGTCTTACACCAACCTCAACAGGCTCATCGGGCAGATCGTGTCCTCCATCACGGCCTCGCTGAGATTTGACGGAGCTCTGAATGTGGATCTCACCGAGTTCCAAACCAACTTGGTGCCCTACCCACGTATTCATTTCCCTCTGGCTACATACGCTCCTGTGATCTCTGCTGAAAAGGCGTATCATGAGCAGCTCTCTGTGGCTGGCATAACCAACGCCTGCTTTGAGCCGTCTAATCAGATGGTGAAGTGTGATCCTCGTCATGGTAAATACATGGCCTGCTGTCTTCTGTATCGTGGAGATGTGGTGCCCAAAGACGTCAACTCTGCCATCGCTGCCATTAAGACCAAACGCACCATCCAGTTTGTTGACTGGTGTCCCACTGGATTCAAAGTAGGTATCAACTATCAGCCTCCAACTGTGGTTCCTGGTGGAGATCTGGCCAAAGTTCAGAGAGCCGTGTGCATGCTGATCAACACTACAGCCATTGCTGAGGCCTGGGCTCGTCTAGATCACAAGTTTGACCTGATGTATGCCAAGAGAGCCTTTGTGCACTGGTATGTGGGTGAAGGAATGGAGGAAGGAGAGTTCTCAGAGGCCAGAGAAGATATGGCAGCTCTGGAGAAGGATTATGAAGAAGTTGGCACTGACAGCATCGGAGAGGAGGACGAAGAGGGAGAAGAATATTAAAGAAGCAGAATTACAGCCTGGGAAACTTAAATCTGACAATTTCAGTAAAGTTACTTGAAATTCAATTTGCATTTAAATTGGTTTTATATTAATAAAATTTGAATAGGAAAAGAAAGAATTTATTCTTTTGTGTGTTTTGAAGTAATCTCGTTGTGTATTCTACGTAAAAACTCTGTTTTGTGTCATGGTTATGCAATGACGTCATCACGCAATGACATCACAACATCATTTAGCAACTTTTAGCAACAAATTGATCTGCCTTTAGCAACTTCCCCTGAAAATTAGTTGGCAACACTGCTCTGCACCCCTTTACCTAAATTCATTACTACAGACTTATGTGCCCTCTAGAAGCTTGCGTTCTGCAAGTGAACATTGCTTCATTGTGCCATCCCAAAGAGGCACACAATCTCTTTCACAGACTCTTACATTAACTATTCCCTCCACACATCTCTTCCATCTTCATTTGACCCTCTAACTCTAGCACTCTCTATTTTAATTCTATTCTTTAAAAAAAAAAAAACGTGCCCCTTTTAGACTTGCAATCTATTCATTTACTAACTGCTTGTTTTCTTAAAAAAAAAAAAAAAAAACTTAACACTAGCTTCTCTATTCTTTTTGTATTCTATCTATTTTCTAAGCTCTTTCTTAACCTGTGTTAAAGGGTTAGTTCACCCAAAAATGAAAATTAGGCTGTTTTACTCACCCCAGAGCCATCCTAGGTGTATATGACTTTCTTCTTTCAGACGAATCCAGTCGGAGTTATATTAAAATAGTCTTTGATCTTTCAAGCTGTTTAATGCCACTCAGCAGGTGTTGCATGCATCAGTCCAAAAGAAGTTAAATAAAAAGCGCCCATCCATTAAAAAAACCATCTCACACGGCTCGGGGGTGAACAAAGGCCTCCTTTAGCGAATCGATGCGTTTTTGTAAGAAAAATATCCATATTCAAAACGTAATAATCACTTGAATGTAGCTTGCGCCAACAGTTGTACACGGAAGCAGTACTGGGCGGATGACGTATGAGTTCAGCGCTGTGCATGAACATTTTCTAACACAGCTGCAAATTACAGTCCAAACTACTGCACGTATTTACATGCGACATGCCAAAACAGCCTGGATAACAATTGGCGAACACTGCTGTCAATCAAACTCATCAAAAATTATGCAAAAACACATTTTATTTATTTGAGATGTTATAATAGTTCTCTAATTGTGTTAAAATAGATTAAACAATAATTATTTAACAAATATTATATGTATATTATGTGTGTAGGTGTGAATTCATCAGAGTGGGCGGGCCTGTGCCCGTGAGCGTCAGGCCCGTCCGCTGCCTATACGCCCCTGATAGATACATTCACTATATTTGTTTTAAAAGGTGCGGAATACTTTTAAAATATAGAAAATAAAATTGTCCTGTCACATAGGTGGTTTGTAGCGACTCCTTGTGGATACATTCTTTAATCTTTGTGCCCGAGTACATTTATTGTAGTCTTTTTTTTTTTACTTGGACATATATTTTAGTGAATTTATTTAGTTATTTTATTGTTTACTTATTGCGCTGGTAACAATATCTGTGACCTGAAAGTGATTAGTCCAATTATAAACAGCTGAAGCAGTGCACAGGATTCTGATGTTGATGCTCATGCCAGGAATCAGCTGGAATTAGTGGTGCATGTAAGAACATGCTCATAATGTCTTGTGACTTTTACCAGGCCTGCTGTTCATTTTATGATACTAGAGGCTTTGTAGGCCCACTCCATGATCTTAGAACAGGTGGTTTCTGTTTTTAGCTGAAGTGAACCAGCAGATAAAGGAGATACACAGAATCTCCAGTAAGAGCGTAAGTGTTTACTCCTTTTTTTTATGAAAAATATATTTTACTTGAGCAAGCACAATGGGTCATTTTACAGCAGATCAAAATGGGCTGTCGGCCATTAACAGTGATTTGGCATAAAAAGGCCACTCAAGCACTTCCAGTGGCTTCACCACATTCTGGGTAATTCTATAGTAAACAAACATTTAATTTTATTACAAAATAATTGTCATACACTATCAAAAGATTAAACTGAAATATACTAGGCTATACTAATACGCAGATATAAATTATCAAACATACAGTAGTATAAATATACTGTACAATATAAAAAATGTCACATACGGGAAATCTTAACATTTTAAGTAGAACTCAAACTTACTAGTTGTATATCATTTGAAACTGCTACAACAGCTTATGGTTCATTTTGAGTCAGACATGAGCAATTCAAAAAGATATTAACAGGAGACTGAATTGATAATTGGATCAGTGAGTTGTTGACTCGAAAAAAGAAAAAAAAAAGTAAAACAATTTATAGTGAGAAATTAATTGTTTAGTGTGATTTGTGAAACTATTCAGCAGGTTCATTAAAAAGATTCTGCCAACTCCAAGTGTCTTGTAGTAAAAACTTGAAATTGTGTAAAAAGTAGGCAACCATACTACGCTTTGGAATGTGGGAAATAATTTTAAATTAGCCTACTGGAAGAGTAGTAGCACTGGAATCTTAAAGAAATTAAGACAAGAAGATGTTGGGTAAAGAGTGTACTAAACCAAAGCTTTGCATTTTTTTATTTATTTATTCTTTATTTCAGCATTTTTAAATTCCTACCCACAACAGGATCAACTGTCAATTTCCAGACTGATGTGAAATCTGCTCAGCATAAATGTGTAACTTTTCTTTTATTATCGTTTATCTTATATGGGGTTTAAAAGACATAAAGGGTGAGTAAATGATGACAGAATTTTAATTGGGGGGTGGACTATCCATCTATCCTATCCATCCGCATTGCTGCTTTGCTGCCAGAGATCATTTAAGTGCATAGCATGCATTATCTTGCAGATTAAAAAGAGGCTTTATTCATTCGTTTAATTTAAATATTTTTTTCAAAGTCAAGTGTCCATATTTTAGTGCAGTCCCTGATTTGTTAAACTAGTATACAATGAGTTTGATGGGCTATCTTTCTTTAAACACCTTTAACACGTAAGTACATTGATGCATAATAACTAGTTCATTCTGATAAGTACTTTGTGTCTGGTGAGCTTTGCTGTACTGCACATGATTCCCTCAGGCTGAAGTGGGCGGGGCTCGTGACGTAAACAAACACTGGCATGTTCTAGACGGCGCCGTGTTTCTCCAAGTAGGTATAACTGCAGACCGGAGCTCAGCTGATCGTGACGCACCGCATTCACAGCAGAGGGCGAGGGACAGACACATATAGGAGTTGGGTCTCGGTGTCACGCTGAAGTAGCTGTAAACGGGTGATTCTGACGGTATTCCGTACTCACGCGGACGTTAAAAGAGCGTCAGTTCCTGTGATCCGTGTCTCAGGAGTCGGGACCGACTAGCGCTTCACCGAGATATCCCAGCCCTGTTTACAGAAGCACGGCTCCTCCTGGCTGGATACACTTCTAAAAAAGGTAAAAGTTGTTCTAACAGGGCGGCCACAGGTCCTGGGACTGCTGGATCTCTAAAATGCTGTATTAACGGAGTAGTGTGTGTCTCTGTGAAGAGCACGCGTGTTTCAGCAGCACCAGCTGTCAGTGGCCATATGGCCCACACAAATCGCTTTTCAACTTTGGGTTTGAAATAACATCACTTTGACAGAGAGTTCCAGACATGGGCAGGCCAGGCTCCAGGGGAATACCAGTCTATGTTCAGTCAATTAATGCAAGTCCAGCACTTTGTGATAAACTGTCATAATAAGCAACAGTTCATTGAGTTGCTGTCTTCCATTGCACTGCGTTTGAGCATGAGCAGAAAGTCCAGTGGAAAACCTGTTAGAAGTTCTGCCATTAAAGAGCCTAGAAGATTAAAGTTGTTCAAATAAACCCTTAATAATGATCTGATACATTAAAATGATCAAAAACACAAATACTTGATCACAGATGCCTAATTGTGTGAACATGACTGTAACTGACATGTAACAACAGTTCTGAAAATCTTATAAGGGTTTCAGAAACACTTCTTGACACATTTTGATGATTTATGATTTTTCACACATGTGAGTAACAGGTGGACTAAACTGAAGGCCGCAATGGTGGATTACTATGATGTTCTGGGAGTGTCACGAAATGCTTCTCCAGATGACATCAAGAAAGCGTAAGTTAAAACTGCCTTCACTTATCAGTAGCTTGCAGTATGGAGTGGCCTATGGCATTGTTATTGAATGTAACTAAATTGGTCTCTGAGTAATCTAACTATAAGCGAAGACTCAAGTATTTTGACACTTACTGTTTAGTGTTTACCTTTATAAAGTATTCATCAACCGTGAAATACACTAATGTACAGAAGCCGTTGCTTAGCAAATTTGAATTCATTTTATGAAAAATAAAGTGAAAACAGTAATAATGTAAATATTATTACAAAAAAGATCATTGTGAATTATTTTTATTTTTGAAATTCTGAGTTTGTCTCGAAACAAGTTTCTATCATTTTAATACATCTTAAAATGTAATTCATTACTGTGGTGGCAAATCTGAATTGGAAAAACGTGACCATTCACACATTTTAACTTGACTTGGTGCTCCAAAATGTGGAATTCATGGTGCAAGATGCTAAAAACAAATATGAATCACAACAGTCTAACATGTCAGTCTAATGTTTATATAGAAGAAGATGGATGCAAGAATGTGTCATATGTGAATGACCCCCTGATCCTATATATCACTTCATCACAATTTTGAGATGCCAGTCAAGCTAAGTTTACTTATGTTTATTTATGTTGTGTATACAGTTACAGGAAACTGGCTCTGCGGTGGCACCCTGACAAAAACCCAGACAACAAGGAAGAGGCGGAGAAAAAATTTAAGGAGATAGCGGAGGCCTATGAAGTTCTTTCAGACAGTAGGACACTGGAAATTTGATCTCTACAGCAATTTTATTAATGGTTAAATTACTTGGTAGGAAAGGCTTGCATTTCACTGTTGTTTTTTTCTCATTATCAAGCAAGCAAACGAGATGCTTACGACAGATACGGTAGATCAGACATACCAAGCTCGGGTGAGGAGAACTTCACACTACTTAAAACCATCTTAAGGCCCGTTCACACCAAGCACGATAACTATAAAGATAACGATAAAGATATAGTTCTAAAAATCTTTCTCAATATTAAAGAATAGCATAGTTCACACCACAACTATAAAGATAACGATACAGAGGAACGATATCGTTGTGATCACTTTCAAAACGATTTTTTTCCAGCTGATGAACGATAAAACACTGACAGCCAATCGGAATCCATCCTGCTGTAATGAGCTCAAGAATTTAAAGCGGCAGACGCATGTGCGCTTAGAATAAACAGACGATATCGTTCACTGGTGTGGACGCTAATATCGTATCTTTATAGTTATCGTTCTTGGTGTGAACGGGGCTTTAGTGTTACATGTGCTTACACGAAGTCTCAATTGTATTTGACATCTGTTTTATAGGCTCTGGTGGTTCTTCATTTCCTGATGACTTCCCAGGATTCAGCTTCACATTCCGCAGCCCAGATGAGGTGTTTCGAGAGTTCTTCGGAGGGCAGGACCCATTCGCAGACTACTTTGGTGGGTTCTCAGGGAGTTTGTCTGTTGATATGCTGATCTTGAATCTTGCTAATATAACGGTGTGAGTGTTTTCTCTGTGTCAGAATTTCCCTCACACCAGTGGTTCTCAACCAGGAGCCCGGGGCCCACTAGGGGGTCTCTGCAAACTTCCATGAGGCCCCAATACATCGTAGAATTATTTAAATGTAGTTATATTATGATGATTTTAATTAAAATGATTAAAACTAAAAATGTACAACATTAAACTGACATTGTATTTTTGAATTAATTTGTTTTGATTACAACAGACATACCAGAGATACATGTCAGCTTAGATATTAAGGCCTCGGACAAAACAGGTTGAGAACCACTGACTTACACTTAGGGTTCTTACATTTTCTCTTACTTTAATGGGTACACACTGCACAAAGTCGTCAGATTGCTGTTCTTCTCACACTACATGACTGTCTACAAACTAAGTTTTACAACCAAACAACCAGAACCAGAAGTGATACAGAAAATAACGTAAGATCACACACAAGACTGGATTTCTTCCTGTTAAAAAGCTTGCAATACAAGTTGTCTGTATGCTGATTTGGAATGGAAAAAAGAAAAAGAAGACTGAAGGAGAGAATGGTTGCGTGCTGATGTTCTGTTGCAGGTTTATGACTCCTCCTTAACTTTCGCTTGCCCTATATCTTGCACTCACATTGGCTGTAGGTCTTCGCTGATTTAATTTCCAGTCAAAACACATTTTCTCACGGGCATCAGGGCAACTTCTCTTAGATCACAAAAATCTGTACTAAAATTGTGCAGTGTGTACCCAGCATTACACTCTTTAACTCTCCCACTTTGCCACTAGATGATTTCCCATTTGGTGGAATGCACAGTGGGCTTCACAGCTCCTTCTCCAGGCTTGGGCCCAGTCGCTTCTTCTCTTTCCCCTCAGCAAATGGTTGGTTTTTAAAATGATTTCATGCTTCTTCTTTTTTTTTTTGTATATAATTATTGCATATGTGTTCAGTCTCCTCCCAGAATAATACTTATTTAGGTGAACTTTACTGAACATATCTTTATAACACTAATGGAAATTTGCGGTTGTTGATATGAAAAGAATAGTATTTTTAATTTATTAAGAGCTGCACTTTTTTTTTTTTTGGATCAACAGCTGATTTCACCTCCTTCTCTTCTTCAATGGGTGGGATGGGCAACATGGGAGGAGCAAACTTCAAGTCTGTTTCTACTTCCACCCGCATTGTCAATGGAAAACGTATTACCACAAAAAAGTCAGTTTGCTTCTCATTATACTAATTTTGCCTACTGTTACCTTTGTTCCATATGTGGTATAATATGCATATAATATGTAATATGCATACAGAATGTATAATATGCAAAATATATGCATCCTGCACATTAAACAAGAAAGTTGTGTTTGATTAAATAAGCAATTTAAACGCAGTTGATGAAAATTAGTAAAAAATTATTTATGCCATGCCACAATGTGAAGGCCTGGCTTACAGAAATTCAGAGGAATTCAAGTTTGTTTATGTATTTCCTGTTAATTGATAAACATTTCATTTCTTCCCTCAGGGTCAGAGAAAATGGCCAGGAGAGAACAGAGGTTGAGGAGGATGGGGTTTTGAAATCGGTCCTCATCAATGGTAATTCATTTTTTGTTATCATTTAATAATAATATAGGACCAGAAGGCATCTCTATAGTTAATGCACATATTCTGGTGTGTAATAAAAATTCACCTTATCAGCTCAGGATGAATCTGCCTGGGAAAGTAGATGCATTTGAATACTAATACACATAAACTACCCTTCAAACCTTTGGGGTCAGCAAGATTTTTGTGAAAGAAATTAATACTTTTATTTGAAAAGAATGCATTAAATTAATTTTAAAAAATACAGTAAAGACATAAAAGTATTTTGTTATAATGTAACAAAATATTTCTATTTCAAATAAACGTTGTTTGTTTTAACTTTCTATTCATCAAAGAATCCTGAAAAAATGTATCACAGCTTCCACTAAATATAAAACCACATGTTTTCAACATGATGATAAATGTTTTTTGTAGAATTTATATTGTATTATACAATTTATTAAAATATATTTTTGGGATTAACTCAAGACTCTTGCACTCTGGTGTGTAGGCATATCATTTTGTTTGGTATGTCTTTATCTTTTATCTTTGCTTGTTGTCTGATGTCTAAACTTCATCTTGCTTTAAAGGTTTTAAGGACTTTTCCTTTTTTATAACAGTGAAAACAGGAATTTTTCTCTAATTCATCCACTTGTCACTGTACATTACAAGTTGAACTATTTATGTTTAAACCCTTATTTCCTGTTTTAATGGTAAGAACTTCTCAAGTAACTCTAAACCACTTAATTAGTTGTTTTCTTATTAGGCTTGCAGGTAGATTTAGCTTACTCATTACATTTCACACTAGCTTCTTGATTTGTCGTATGCAGATTGCTCATTTCCTGTAGAGCTGATCTGACATTCAGCTGTGTTTGTGTGTCCAGGTGTGGAGGATGAGATGGCCTTAGCTCTGGAACTGAGTCGTAGAGAGCAGTCCAGTCAGCCTCCCAGACAATCCCAGCATCCACTGCTCCACCCCTCCAACAACAGCTCTCCAAACCCCGCTCTACGCTCCTACAGCGCTGCCCCGTTCTACCACTGCCCCGATGCCAGTGAAGATGAGGAGGATGAAGACCTGCAGATGGCACTGGCCTACAGCTTGTCAGAGATAGAGGCCCAGCAGCGGGCAGAGGACGTGATCTCAGGTGCTGAGGGAGGGAGGGAGAAGCAACCAGGTGGTGGGAAGGGTGCCGTTCAAAAAAACACAGATCAGAAAGAAGTACCGGATAATTCAAAACAAAGCACCCCCTCGTCTCCAGAGGATAGACTGACCGAACAGGGTCGGGCTAGAGGTTCAGAAAGTGTTGTTGTACAGGATAAGGAGAATGACAAAATGACAGCCAATGGGACTAATGTGGTAAAAAAGAGGAGGAAGTGTCGGTGTGTGGTCTGTTAGTAAGAATATGGAGAATAATCATGCTTGTGTGAAATTACCAGAGTTATAATCTTATGTTTTCATCTTATGGTTGTTTTTTTAATCCTTCCTGAAGTTTTTGAGTGTGCTTTGACTTGCAGCTCTTATGGCATTGCACAAATGACTGTTGAAATTGTATTTTCTCGCATTGAGATATGAGTAACAGGTGCCAAAATGTGTTTATTCACCACAAAGTCAGGAAATTTTACAGGAAATTTTGAAGGAACTGTTTGCAATATTTTAGAACCCCATGCACAAAATGTCCTGCTATCTGACAGATATCACTGAAATGGGTGTCTTGGGTATATGGTTAGCAAAATTGTAAAAGTTAAAGGGTTAGTTCACCCAAAAATGAAAATTAGCCTGTGTTTTACTCACCCTTAAGGCATCCTAGGTGTATATGACTTTCTTCTTTCAGACGAATCCAATCGGAGTTATATTAAAAATTAAAAAATTGTCCTGGCTCTTCCAAGCATTATCATTGCAGTGGGTGTGTGATTCTGTTCAACAGTCCACAAATCCATGTGTTTTTGTAAGAAAAATATCCATATTTCAAACATAATGAACACTTTTCTCTCACTTCTGCTGACTGTCGTATGTGGAAGGCGTTCCGGCGGATGACGCAGGACGTATGCTTCGCGCGCACGCCTCTGAGGTATGCTAGTCTCGCGAGTTTGTTTACAGGAGCAAAGGAAGCAAAGTTTCCTTACTTTAGCAAAGGAAAACCAGTCTCCTCTTGGCTTATATCGAATTTTCCTTTACAAATCCTCTGTTTGTACTTCTAATTCATGACCAGTGTTTTGTTTTGTTCTCTCTCCACATTCATCACTAATCACGCAACGCCAACGTCTTGCTTATGTCATCTGCCGGAATGAAGAAAGTCATATACACCTAGGATGCCTCGAGGGTGAGTAAAACAGCCTAATTTTCATTTTTGGGTGAACCCTTTAACATAATGGCTGAAATCTCTTACAGCAACTTCAGAGCTAATATTCAACATGACTTTTTGCTGCCAATCAAAGATAAATTCTCTGCAATTACATATTCATTCAGATAAAATAAATTGCTACACTCTAAACCAGTAGTTCCCACAGTCTTGGAAAACCTGGATATATGAAATTACCCTAATTTTAGTGTGATTTAGTGTGATAGACTTGGAAAAGTAATGTTAATTAAGAAAATCATATAACTCCATGGGATTTCAAAAATATATATCATTATCCAGTAAATTCTGAAAAACTGTAAAAGTCATGGGACCTTTGAATATGGTTTTGGACGATGGGTGGTCCTGGAGTCAGACAGATTGAGAACCACTGCTCTAAACAGTTTTAATGGGTTTTCTCAGTCTTGCATAGCATTTGAATGGATATCTTGCTCATTAGTTGACATCCCATTCCCAATGACCCTTCCATTTATTTTTCCAGCAGTGAAGTACTTTTGTTTCATTTGTTTTCACATTCATTAGTATTGTTCCTTCTAGAAGGGAGATTCTCGGATTCGCGTCTGGATGCGTTCTGATTTTTGTGCATTTTTCATTCCTTGAGAGGTACCTGTTGAATGTGAAGGTGATATTTTGGGGGGCAAATTTTGCACGAAAACCTAAAGATAATCTGCCTCTGAGGGCTCATGTTGTGTCAATGACTAATGCCTAGTCACTAAGAGAATGTAGAATCCAGAATTATCTCAGTTAATGAGAATGTGCCAAATAACTGACAGTAACTTGCATCATTAGTTTATATAGTATTGATATTTCGTTTGTGCCTTTTTTGTTAGAATAGAAATGCTTGGCTATTGTTGCCAATGCTATATCTCACTTGCCAGTTTGTGTTTAAGAAGCACATTTTACTTTTTTATTGTTTGTGCATTTTGTTCCATAATAACTATCAGCTTTGTGATATAAAATGAACAATCAAAACATCAATACATGAACATTTGTTTTGCTTAAAAATACTAAGCTCAGAAAGTTTGAATGTGATGCTATGTGAATATTAATAAAAATATTTTGTGTAACTATGTAAGCTGCAATCAGGAAACAAAGTCATTGATTTACACAAAACTGCTATTTACGAAAATGTTATGTAAGACAACATTGTTCTCTCAGAAGTGTCCAAATCCACAGGGCATATTCAGTGCTCAGAAAGTGCTATTTAAATGACTAAATTGTTAATAAATGCTGTTTCAGTCATTGTTAACATGATGTTGTTGCTAATATGAGGAAAAAATAAACTGTATAATACATTCTGTTCACTACATTCAATTCATTTTCAATTTTAAGGATAAGTATTTTTGATGGACTGCTAATTGTTATCCATTTACTACCAGTTCACCTGATTAAAACAGCAGATTTTTATAAACTACTATGCCTTTAAATCAAATTTGGAAAAAACAGCTGAGATGCTTTGCATTATTTAAATCCTTTCACTTGCTGCTATAATCCATCATGTCATTCTCAGATTTTTTTTTTGTCAATACCAGCACATTCATATCATCATTCCCACTCATGCATTTATGTTTATAATTTTGTTTTCCTGGGATTTTTACCTGACTCCTTCTCCCTGCCGTTACAGAGTCCGACTTCCAGGCCTTCACAGGCTGACCTGTGGCTGTGACCCCCTCTTACCACCCGAGGTAAAACGAAGTGTAGATGTCTCTGCAGCTCTTAAGCATAGTTTTCAGCTCTTCTCCCCATTCAGAGTTCATTAACTTTTGTGTATTTGTGAGTTGAGTTTGCTGCTCCTGCTGTAGAGCATGCAGTATTCCAGGAAAATATTGAACACTACATGATTAATTTGTTTTAATTCACCAAAAATACAACACAAGAAACTGTGTGGCAACACTAATACTGGATTCATCCGTCTGCTCTTAACAGGTGAAGCGTTCCCCGGTGCTCTGCTCTCTCTTTCTGCTTCTCTGTCTCTCTCTGCCTGGCACACCTGCTGCTCAGACCCTTTTCAAAGTTTTATTTAAAAAAAAAAAACGGGCAACACTACATAAAGGTCAAACATGTATGTGTACGTGCATTGTGTATGAATGTGTTCTCAGTCTTGGAGAGGGAATACTGGATTGCTTTTTATATATAAATTAAATTTATGGCCTGCACTGATCATATATATATATATATATATATATATATATATATATATATGAGCTAATGTAAAAAATCAAGTGTCTTAAAGACAAAATTCTTCATTAACATTTTAATGAATGATTCAAACTGTGATGAATGTATAATTGTACTTGATATGCAATATTTGAGAATTTAAAATCTTCATAACTTATGATAAAGGTTTATTATTTATTCAGAAGGGTTTCTTGTGTTTTAATTAAAACCTCTGCTTTTTCATGTCTCATTATTTTGTAATTTTTTTTATACACTACTGTCTAGAAGTTTGGGTCCGTATGTTTTTAAAAGAATCTTATTCTCACCAAATGGCATGTATTTGGTCAAAAATACAGTGAAAACAGTAATATTGTGAAACATTACAATTTAAAATGTGTTTTCTATGTGAACATTTTTATTCCTGTGATGCAAAGCTGAATTTTTAGCAACATTACTCCAGTCTTCTGTCACATGATCCTTCAGAAATCATTTTAATATGCTGATTTGAAGCTCAAGAAACATTCTTATAATTTATTATTATCAATGTTGAAAACAGTTGTGCTGATTAATGTTTTGTGGTAACCAAAAATGTTTTTATTCGAGATTTTAGTAAGGTCAATAGAACAGCATTTATTTGAAATAGAAATCTTTTGTAGCTTCATAAATGTTTACTGACCCTATACTTTTGAATGTTAGTGTAGATTAGACATAAACAGGTACTAGGTTTTTTTGGGGGGGGCATGCATGGTGATAATGAAAGAGGGAAGCCACACACATCAAGCAGTGCTGCTACACAGATTCACATTTAATTCAGAACCATTTAAAAATTATAGTCATATAATTCTCTTTTTTTTAAATAATTTTCGACACATTTGCTACAGGAATAAACAGAGCTCTCAGTGAATTATTTACAGTGATCACACGACGTAAAGGCGGCACTAGACATTACAGATGTGAAAGCACTGAATGTTTGTAAAAGATCTGACAGGAACCTTAAGATATTACAGGTGCCTTTCAGGTACATTCCAACGAATTCAGAGTTCAGACATGACTGTGCATATATGATCTCATGTTTGACTGCATGAGACATGGTGGCTTCTTTTGTCATTTCCACATTTGATACATGAATTGCATTTTTGGCCATGATAAAGAAAGCATTTTAAGAACAAAATCTGCATTTTCCAACATCAAACATTATATGTATATATATTTATAAAAAAGACAACATGATACTGTCGATTTACAGAAATTAGGACACTTTAAATCTGATGCTTAAAACCACCATTTCTCCCTGAAACTCAATTAGGACTGAAGCATTTGGCCCCTGCAAAGTGTTTCCAGCATTGGAAAGCTTTCAGTCTTTTAAAGAGTGACAATATTCATTTCTGACTAGTGAAAGTGAGTGAGGTGCATGAAAAGGGGTGAGTGTAAGTGAAAAAGATGTAAAAGTGACACTGGGATGTGGCTCACTGAGGAAGGGCTTTCAGAATGGCATTCACCTCTTCTGCCACAGCTGTCAGGGCGAACTCAAACTGGTCCTAAAGAAACAACCAAGCTTAGTGTGTAAATGATTTCACTCTAACATTCACAATCATATGCTGGGAAAGCACGTTGTACATACCTTAGTGCGTACCATACTTGGTCTCTGGTCACGAATGTGCTCCAGTGTGGCGGCAATGTCAATCTCCTTGACGCCTAAAACACACAAACAGCCTCTGAGCATGCGGCGCGTACATAAAATGAAATGGCTAGATAGAGAAACGAGGTGCTTACCTTTCGCCATGCGGTTAAGTACCATGTCAATAAGAATGTAGGTGCCGGTTCTGCCAGTTCCATCGCTGTGTGAAACAGGAAACCAATTTAAATCATTCATTTTCAATGATAACAGTAATTAAAAAAACGCCCATATTGTGAACCTGAGACTCATTGTAGCCGTTTACCTGCAGTGCACAATGATTGGGCATGAGCGTCCTCTGTAGCACTTGTTTACTTTTCTAAAAAAAAGGGAGGATAGAAGAGAGAAAGAAAATTAAAAACGAAGCATGTTATAAGGAGCATAACCACGGTCAATTTGTCCAACCCTACAATCATTCTTCTGTCGACAAAGAGGAACTGAGCGACGCGTGAGGCTGGGGAAGGAAGG